CAACATTGAACATATGACAACATTGAACATATAAAAACATTGAACACATGACAACATTGAACAAATGACAACATTGAACACATGACAACATTGCACATATGACAACATCGAACATATGACAACATTGAACACATGACAACATCGAACATATGACAACATTGAACATTTGACAACATTGAACATATGACAACATTGAACATATGACAGCATTGAACATATGACAACATTGAACATTTGACAACATTGAACATATGACAACATTGAACATATGACAACATTGAACATTTGACAACATTGAACACATGACAACATCGAACATATGACAACATTGAACATATGACAACATCGAACATATGACAACATCGAACATATGACAACATTGAACACGTGACATTATTGAACATATGACAACATTGAACACATGACAAAAACGAACATATGACAACATTGAACATATGACAACATTGAACATATGACAACATTGAACATTTGAAAACATTGAACATATGACAACATTGAACATATGACAACATTGAACATTTTACAACATTGAACACATGACAACATCGAACATATGACAACATTGAACATATGACAACATTGAACATATGACAACATTGAACATATGACAACATTGAACATATGACAACATTGAACATATGACAACATTGAACATATGACAACATTGAACATATGACAACATTGAACATATGACAACATTGAACATATGACAACATTGAACATATGACAACATTGAACATATGACAACATTGAACATATGACAACATTGAACATATGACAACATTGAACATATGACAACATTGAACATATGACAACATTGAACATATGACAACATTGAACATATGACAACATTGAACATATGACAACATTGAACATATGACAACATTGAACATATGACAACATTGAACATATGACAACATTGAACATATGACAACATTGAACATATGACAACATTGAACATATGACAACATTGAACATATGACAACATTGAACATATGACAACATTGAACATATGACAACATTGAACATATGACAACATTGAACATATGACAACATTGAACATATGACAACATTGAACATATGACAACATTGAACATATGACAACATTGAACATATGACAACATTGAACATATGACAACATTGAACATATGACAACATTGAACATATGACAACATTGAACATATGACAACATTGAACATATGACAACATTGAACATATGACAACATTGAACATATGACAACATTGAACATATGACAACATTGAACATATGACAACATTGAACATATGACAACATTGAACATATGACAACATTGAACATATGACAACATTGAACATATGACAACATTGAACATATGACAACATTGAACATATGACAACATTGAACATATGACAACATTGAACATATGACAACATTGAACATATGACAACATTGAACATATGACAACATTGAACATATGACAACATTGAACATATGACAACATTGAACATATGGCAACATCGAACATATGACAACATTGAACATATGACAACATTGAACATTTTACAACATTGAACACATGACAACATCGAACATATGACAACATTGAACATATGACAACATTGAACATATGACAACATTGAACATATGACAACATTGAACATATGACAACATTGAACATTTGACTACATTGAACATTTGACAACATTGAACATATGACAACATTTATTATTTGACAACAATGGACATATGACAACATCAAACATTTAACAACATTGAACATTCGACAACATCGAACATATGACAACATTAAACACATGACAACATCGAACGTATGACAACATTGAACACATGACAACATTGAACACATGACAATATCGAACATATGACAACATTGAACACATGACAACATCGAACATATGACAACTTTGAACATTTGACAACATTGAACATTTGACAACATTGAACGTTGGACAACATTGAACATATGACAACATTGAACATTTGACAACATTGAACGTTGGAAAACATTGAACATATGTCAACATTGAACATTTGACAACATTGAACATATGACAACATTGAACATTTGACAACATTGAACATATGACAACATTGAACATATGACAACATTGAACATATGACAACATTGAACATTTGACAACATTGAACATTTGACAACATTGAACATTTGACAACATTGAACATATGACAACATTGAACATATGACAACATTGAACACACGACAACATCGAACATACGACAACATTGAACATATGACAACATTGAACATATGACAACATTGAACATATGACAACATTGAACATATGACAATATTGAACATTTGAGAACATTGAACGTTGGACAACATTGAACATATGACAACATTGAACATTTGACAACATTGAACATATGACAACATTGAACATATGACAACATTGAACATTTGACAACATTGAACATATGACAACATCGAACATATGACAACATTGAGCATATGACAACATTGAACATTTTACAACTTTGAACGTTGAACAACATTGAACATATGACAACATTGAACATTTGACAACATTGAACATATGAATACATTGAACATATGACAACATTGAACACATGACAACATCAAACATATGACAACATTGAACATATGACACCTTTGAACATATGACAACATTGAACATATGACAACATTGAACATATGACAACATTGAACATATGACAACATTGAACACATGGCAACATCGAACATATGACAACATTGAACATATGACAACATTGAACATATGACAACATTGAACATTTGACAACATTGAATATATGACAACATTGAACACATGACAACATCGAACATATTACAACATTGAACACATGACAACATCGAACATATGACAACATTGAACACATGACAACATCGAACATATGACAACATTGAACATATGACAACATTGAACATTTGACAACATTGAACATATGACAACATTGAACATATGACAACATTAAACATTTGACAACATTGAACATATGACAACATTGAACATATGACAACATTGAACATATGACAACATTGAACATTTGACAACATTGAACATTACTGTTGTAACTTGTATACTGTTGTAACTTGTATACTGTTGTTTGAACATATGACAACATTGAACATATGACAACATTGAACATATGACAACATTGAACATATGACAACATTGAACATATGACAACATTGAACATTTGACAACATTGAACATTTGACAACATTGAACATATGACAACATTGAACATATGACAACATTGAACATATGACAACATTGAACATATGACAACATTGAACATTTGACAACATTGAACATATGACAACTTTGAACATATGACAACATTGAACATTTGACAACATTGAACATATGAAAACATAGGACACATCTCAACAAAGAACACATGTTAACATAGAACGCATGTCAACATAGAGCACATGCCAACATAGAGCACACATGCCAACACAGAACACATGTCAACATAGAACACATTTCAACATAGAACATATGCCAACACAGTAGACAATTGTTTACCACCTCAGGCTAACAGGAAATCTGTATTTATTTAGGCCAGATTATTTACAACATATATTCTTCAAAAAATATTTTTGAATTTCGCACAGAATTTCCCCTTCGCCATGTGTGCTTGTATTTTCTGACAGACTTTCTCTTCAACATATCCGCTTGTACTTCTCACAGACTTTCTCTTCACCACATCTGCTTGTACTTTTGAAAGATGTTCTCTTCACCTCATCCGCTTGTATTTCTCACAGACTTTCTCTTCATCATGCGTGCTTGTACTTCTTCAGACTTCAGAATATGATCCCCATAGTAATCTCTGATTGGCCTCCTACACTGAGGTATTGTTGGGTCCCCGGATGTATCAATTTATAAGACAGATGGGCGACGTAACATTAAAGACACTGCAGGATTTTTAAAATAGATTTGTACCAAAGGTCAAAGGTAAGATAAGTCAGCGACTCTCACTCCTAAACTAATCAACTACACCATGGTATTTTTCAGACCTTCTAACCATTTTTCTCATGTGCGTGGCGCCCCCTGGATTTTATTGTGCTTTTGAACATGAACATCATCTCATGGATGTTGCAAAAATTAAGTAAAATTTTAAAATAATAAAACCATCATCAATCGTTGCGTTGTGAATGTGATTCTAAATGTTGTAATTTTTAATTTTATTAAAATTATGTAAGACTTTCAGAAAACGGATGCATTGGCTAGTCTTCTCTTAAATACCTCAAACCTTGGACTGTTAGGTTAAGTTGTAGTTCATCTATTTGTGTCAGACCAACTTTCACCACATTACAATGCAAGGTTGTAATGTGGTTCTTAACAGAGTTATTTTCACATCTTACAGTATCTAAATAAAAGAGTTGCTGCCCTGTTATGGCCAATGTGCTGCAGTTAATATTATATTTTACTGTACTGAGCCGTTCTCGTACTTGTAATGATTGTATTGTTTCTAATGATTGTAATGATTGTAATCTTGTGATGATTGTAATATTGTAATGTTTGTAATGATTGCAATGTTTGTTATGATTTTAATGTTGTAATGTTTGTGATGTTGTATTGTTTGTAATTAAAAGTTTTGGTTAGGCATCTTAATTTAGTTAAAGTACTAAACAATTCTAAATTTCCAACTTGTCCTTCAACATTCACTGGCAATCTAGAATGTCATAATAAAATTCATTTGTATGAAATCAATACAGTGGCTCAAATTGTGGAAGCAGACTTACATACATTAGAACTGTACCAGACAAAAGATAACCTCGTGTCCACACATACATCACGAAATCTTAAATTAAACATGCGTTCATACAGTCCAGGAAAAACAATCTACAAAAATCAAAATATAATCAATAAATAGTTTAATTCTTCTTCTTCTCAGCATTTCATTAAATGTTTTTGCATCAAAATTTCTTAACTTACATAGCAGTTCTCTAACTATAAAGGAATTTATTTTTAAATCTGCTGCTATGACTGATGCCCAAAAAGGGGGACACTTATTGAATGACAGTTAAATACCATAGTTAAAAGGAGATTGAAACGCTAGTCTTCATATATCTGAAATACAAGCTCAATACACTAAATAATTTAGTATTTGTAGACTAGACCCACTCCAAGTCTTAGAATGAAGACTAGACCCACTCCAAGTCTTTGAGTGAAGACCCCCTCCAAGTCTTAGAATGAAGACTAGACCCACTCCAAGTCTTAGAATGAAGACTAGACCCACTCCAAGTCTTAGAGTGAAGACTAGACCCACTCCAAGTCTTAGAATGAAGACTAGACCCACTCCAAGTCTTAGAATGAAGACTAGACCCACTCCAAGTCTTAGAATGAAGACTAGACCCACTCCAAGTCTTAGAATGAAGACAAGACCCACTCCAAGTCTTAGAGTGAAGACTAGACCCACTCCAAGTCTTAGAATGAAGACTAGACCCACTCCAAGTCTTAGAGTGAAGACTAGACCCGCTCCAAGTCTTAGAATGAAGACTAGACCCACTCCAAATCTTAGAATGAAGAACAGACCCACTCCAAGTCTTAGAATGACCAATGACCATATAACACTAGTGATTTGACCAATATGATTTAAACATTATTTTAGTGTAAACTGGCTTTCTTGCATACAGAGATTTAGACTGGCAAAGTCATAGTGACCAGATAGATTGACAATGTTCTAATGACCAGGACTACTGGCAATGTCCTAGAAACCAGGTAGATTGACAATGTCCTCGTGACCAGATAGATTGACAATGTTCTCATGACCAGATAGATTGACAATGTTCTAGCAACAAGGTAGATTGACAATGTTCTAGCAACCAGGTAGATTGACAATGTTCTAGCAAACAGATAGATTGACAATGTCCTAGCAACCAGTTAGATTGACAATGTCCTCGTGATGAGGTAGACTGACAATGTCCTAGCGACCAGGTCAAAGTACATTCTGTTATTCACCAGGTGCCCAACCCACACACCATTTCTAAGTGATGTATAAATCTGTACGGTCAACACAAGGGTCATCTTTATTTCTGGTGGCTGGTTACAACAGTTGGAAGGTCAAAGTTCATCTTTGAGCTAAGCCTGTCTGGAGTTGAGAAAATTTAAGGCACACTAAAGAGATACATTTTGAGTCAGTATTGGAAAACCCTTCAGCAGTTCTAAGATAAAATCACAGCTCTAAAATAAAACCATAGATCTAAGATAAAACGATAGTTCTAAGATACAACAATAGTTCTAAAATACAACACTAACCCATTTGGTGAGATCATTTTTGAAAACCAATTTCTAAAGTAAAGTATGAAACCTCTAAAGTTAGCTCCCAGCCTCTGTCCAATGAAGAATGTTACAACAACAGAACCAGTCGAGTGTTAATGTCTTTGAGCAGCAACAGAACCAGTCGAGTGTTCATGTCTTTGATCAGCAGATTTTGAGTGAGTTAAACCAAGCTGATCTATCACATACTCCTTATAAACATCTCCCATTGATGAACTGCTGAACAAGACCTGTAACTCACGAGGGGTCTGCAGGTCAAGGACAGCAAAATCCTGAAATCTGTCAAACAAGGGAAACAATTATGGTTATAACTAGGATTAGTGTGATCGTGATTGTTGTTGTTCTTTCGAACTTGTACTGTTTACAAACATGGCTCAAAACTCTGGCACTCATTTTTTTTGTCAATTTCAAACAAATGTAGACAAATAATATGGAGTTTTTAATTAATTCATTCAAGTTTTAAAATTTAAAAAAACAGGGATGAAAATAGACTTAATGGTGTCATTCTCCAAAAGTATTTTCATCATCAGAGAATTATCAAGCCAAAAACAAGTACTTCTGTTAATTTTAACATGAACAATATTTTTCATTGGATCTGCTTCTGGAATCAGCCCTGTATCATTTAGCTTTTAGATAAGTTTCACAGTGTGCATTCATTGAGATAACTTTCATAGTGCGCATTCACTGAGATAACTTTCACAGTGTGCACTCATTGAGATAACTTTCATAGTGTGCATTCATTGAGGTAACTTTCATAGTGTGCATTCATTGAGAAAACTTTCATAGTGTGCATTCATTGAGATAACTTTCATAGTGTGCATTCATTGAGATAACTTTCATAGTGTGCATTGCTTTAATGCAATATCAGTGAAACAGGGAATATTTTTAAAAATCCTTGTAAGTTATCTGTTTTTTTAAAGAATTAAAGACCCACTCTGATTTCATCCACAGGAACTGACAAGTATTTAATGCATACCTTCCTGTGCTGACAAGTATCTAATGTATACCAGCCTGTGCTGACAAGTATCTAATGTATACCTTCCTGTGCTGACAAGTATCTAATTTATATCTTCCTGTGCTGACAAGTATCTAATGTATACCTTCCTGTGCTGACAAGTATCTAATGTATACCTTCTTGTGCTGACAAGTATCTAATGTATACCTTCCTGTGCTGACAAGTATCTAATGTATATCTTCCTGTGCTGACAAGTATCTAATGTATACCTTCCTGTGCTGACCAGTATCTAATGTATACCTTCCTGTGCTGACAAGTATCTAATGTATACCTTCCTGTGCTGACAAGTATCTAATGTATACCTTCCTGTGCTGACAAGTATCTAATTTATACCTTCCCGTGCACACAGGTTGAAAAGATGATAAATACAACCCATGATCAACACAATTGGCTTCCTGCCATTTATTTGTTTGGTCTGCAGAGCATCACGTTACAATTGTTTGGTTGATATCTCCAGTTTATTGAAAACGTAAAATATTTCTCAGATAATAGTTTCACAACTTCTGGCGAAACCTGCTGGCATTTTGAGTAAACTAGTTCTGGTTTTTGTTCCATCTTTGAATACCATCACAGCTGGTCAGTTATACCGTCACTCATCAAGTCTCTTATGAAGATGCTTGACTGTCACTTGTCAAGCATCAAAAGACATCACAAAACTAGACAAAATAGTCAATACCCTCTAGCACTAACTATAAATGATAAATAAATCTTACTTACTTTGTATTTATATCACAAGGAATCTCACACAGCACTGTCAGCATTCTCTCTTTGCAACTCCTGCCTTTTGAGTCCACGTCCACATTTGTGGTTCTGTTCTTGACAATATATTCCTAGTACCATCAAGAATGTCAAATTTAAACTGAACAATATGAAGTGTTTATTTTCTATAAACAAATACTGGAAGTGGTTTTGAAAAATCCTACCAGGATACAATAGAATGACTTTACTCACAAAGATTTTGATAAAATATAAAGCAGGTCTTCTTAACCAGGTGTACGTTGCCCCCTGGGGGTGAAGCGGGCAGTATCAGGGTGCAGTAAAAACCTGATAATAATTTTTATTTGCTTTTTTTTAAAGTTGGGGTGTGAGATACTTTGTTTTGAAATCGAGATGGGGGTGCTGGCATTGTTTTGAAATCGAGATAGGGGTGCTGGTATTGTTTTGAAATGAGGAGAAGTGTGGTGCAGCAAAGAAAGAACCCCTGATGTACAGAAAAAATGTTGTGCAAAAACATTGAAGAATTAAATGGAAGTGGTTGCTTTGTTAACACTTTCTATGTCACTGCATCAATAAATTTATAATAAAATAATGGATATAAATAAGTTTATATGTGTTTGATGTACAACTGGTGGTATTTATATTAAGAATTAACTCTATAATAAGCCACTTCTTGTTAGCAAGGGACGCTACCAATAGTTACTCACTTTGACTGCTGATATGTTCCCTTGAAGTATTATAAGTATAATTTTTTGACAAAAGCAAAGTCTGCCAGTTAAGCCAAGTTCAAGAATCCATTTTTTTATTAGTTTTGTGTAACTTTGCTTTGATCTCATGTGATCTAATTGAAGGACACATGTTACTGTCTTTGAATCATTCCTGCTTCTTACTTTCTGACTAGGCTTTTCTGTACTTTCAGGTAATTTGTCATGTAATGTGTCATCTGCAGGTACCATTGCTTGTGTGTCATAAACTGATGTTTCAGATTTATCAATTGATTCCTGAAGGTTTGGTTTCACATTCACACAACAGCCATTTATTTGTGATTGTCTTATATTTTCAGCAAGCTCTAACTTGGTATTTAAATATTTGTGTGCTTCTTCTTCTAGCAACTCTTGAGCATAGAAAAACAAATTCATTAACATTGCCTCCCCTAGAAGACTGTTAGCTCTCTCCTGTATTTTCCCGGTCAGAATGAGAAGAGTATTCACCGACAAGAATGTACATTTTAAGGTGATAACTGGCAAGTCTTTTTGCGGGTAGCTCGATGGCAATGAAACAGTGACACTGGTATTTCCAGAATCAAAATCTCTTTTGAAAGTAATGTGCTGGAATTGAAAGTAAATTGTGACCTGATGACCATCTTGACCTAATTTTAAAGGAAAGAAAAAAATTATCATATGGGAAATAGCTGAGTCTCAATAAATATACCTGGCACAAGTTTATAAGTTTTTCCAGAGGCTTTTATAGCAAAATTACAGTAAAATTTCTAAAAATGTATTGTAATGCATATTTAATGGTCCATGCCATAAATAAGCAGGCCTATATAAATCTATTATTAAAATAAAAAGTTTGTTTTTACAGGGATTCTCATTTGTCGGTTGACATGATAGCAAGCATTTTTTTTTTTACTCAGTTCAAGCAATATTTTTATATTTTGTGGAATCTTTCTGTTTGAAATCTTTTATTAAACTTAAGGAATCAGGTAAGTCGTATATAGTGGTTTGATGGAAGTAATAGTAGTAATACTTTGAATTATTCTTTTGCGAGCAATTTTGAAAATATAATAATTTGTTGTGGAATTCCTTTTCACTATTGAATTCAATTGTCCTTGTAACTAATTTTTGAGAGCCCTGTGAAACACAATTGTAATTAGTAAAAGTTTGTTGAATACTCAGATAATGTGAGGATTTTATAACCTTAAATATTTAATTATAGCACCAAAGGAAAGTGATTAATTGATTAATTTTAAAATTAAAAGTATCATTTATGATGATGTGTTTTGACTTTGAGGTTGATTTCTCTGTTGATGGGAGTGTTAATAAAACTTCTAAATTAGTGTGACATCACATTTTTCACATCATTTATGAATGGCCCCTGCCCTAAGTAAATACAATTTCTATTGCCTATTATTACATCATTTATTAATTAAATTCCTTATTTTAATTTCAAATTTAAAAAAAAATAATAATTAAATTATTAGCTAAAACCATACTTGACCAGATATTCAATACTGTAGCTATTTTGACCATTGTTTTGGCAATAAATTGCATTTAACGCTTTTCAGTTTAATGAGTTTAACGTTAGTTTAAGTTTAAGTTACAATGACATTGACATTGATTTGAATTTGATTGATTTAGGCTACAGTAGGCAGGCGACATTAAAATTTACAACCTTTATTAGTTTCCAGCTCTCCTTCTTTGCAAAATATAGCTTTAAGGGCTTCAATTTCATCTTCCTGATCTGTTTCCATTTAACTCAACTACATTGCACCCGGTGTGTCTTGAATAGAAAATTAAATATATTTTAAAATAATTAATAATTCGAACCACACGAACTGTCCATCAACTTCGAAAACACGAACACAAGTTGTGGGGTTTCGACTGCTAGAAATATGAGAGTGACCTCCCTTTCTTTGCTCTATTACTACCCAAACTTTTTATGGTCGATAATATTTATTTGTAACACTTAACTGGGTCAGGGCGTCTCATTAGACCACTTTGTCAAGGGTTCTTATCCTACTTGCAGCACCGCCCTCCCCCTCTTGATTTCAAAACATTTCCCGCACCCCATATCGATTTCAAAACAAATTTCTCGAACAAAATTGCGAATAAATTGTAAAATAAACCGGATGGCGGAAGGATTGCCTGGGTCTTCAACAACCCTCTCTGAGCAGGGCTACCACACCTTGGGAAATTTCCCAAGGTCTTGGGAATTCACGACCCCCCTTGGGATCTGGGGAATAATTTTGAAAATCATGCAAAATCTTGGGAAATCTTAACTGGGGGGAAAATTTTGTTATATTTTTCGAAAAAAACGCAACAATATCTGATAAAAAATAAAGTAAAAATAAAGCAAAATAATTTTTAAAGTAACAAGGCAAAAAATTAATTGTTTTCATTTTCTTTTCTGGTTTTAATTTTTAAATCCACTCATAAAATAAATAAAAACTCTTCTGATTTTAAAGTTAATATTGTGAATTATTAAAAAGTTAATAATTTTAAAAAAAAATTCAATTTTCTCTTTAAAAAAAAAAATTGAAGATTTACAAATTACATCCAGGTTTTGAATGTTTATTAAATGGGGGGGGGGGTAGGCTCGGAAACTTTATCATTATGCTCTTAGACATTAGCAACCATACGAAAAACAGTACAAGCCAAAGAGTGAACGATAGTGTTCAATCAAGAATCCATGCCATAGTAGAATTTTATTATTTCAATTACTTCTACAATGTGTTCAAAATATAATGCATCTGTAAAAAATCCAGCCTAATTTTCATCAATTAGAAAAAATATTTGTGGATTGAAACACGGGTAACTAAGATATTAATAGTATAGGCAGTATAGGCCTACGTTGTAGGATTATAAATGAACAATTCCTTTAAAAGTATTTTTTTTTTTGTGAAAAAATCGTTATAATGTAAATTTTACAAGAAAAAATAAAACACTTATTGTTTTCATCGTAATATCAATCCATTTTAACTACAATTATTATTAATAAATTTTGCTTAATTGCTTTGCAAACCCCACTTGTAATCAACAGATTTACAATAATAAAAAATCATTTTTTGATGAAGAAACTTTTGCCTTTGTAAAAGGAATTCTGTGTTGATTAGCCTTGTATGCTTTTTTTTTCCAAGTGACTTCTATTACACATGTATTGTAGATTATATTTTTATCAGAGAATTCGGAGGTAATATTTAGTAGCCTAACTCCAGTGAGTATTGATATTTTGGATTATAAATTATTTTTTTAAAAACAAATATTTTTTTTTTAATGTGATAAACATGTTTTAAATGTCTTTTTCAATAAATTTCAGTCCATTAATATACCATGTTTTTCAGGGGCATTGATTCAATCTATTATTACATTAATTACATAGAAAACCCCCCTTTAAAAAAAAAACTCTTATATATTTGTATGATCTTGGGAAATCTTGGGAAATTTGTTCACCAAATCTTGGGAAATTTGAAAAAAGTGAGTGGCAGCCCTGTCTCTGAGTCTCTGAGTGGTGGAATCCAACCCCTCTCCCTCCTAGACCTTGGACTTAGCACATTTTTTACTGTGGGTCATGCCAGTCATGGTAGTGATTTTTAATTCGTGTGTTCGCTATGAATATTAGTAGGCCTACATAAAATAAAACCATTTACAGTTACAAAATTTTGTAGACCATTGTTGACAATCCAATTTAAAAAAATATTGATTACGAACTATTTTGCATTTTTCAGCAATTTAATTTCTTCAAATACTGTAATTGAAAAGTGAATTTTAGTAGGCCTATAATTAAAATACGCGAGAGGACGGCGTTGCTGTACTGTAAAAGGACGTGTAGTTGCTGTAGCGCTGGTCAGTGGCGTAGCTAGGGTTGGTGTCACCCGGTGCGGTAAACTCATGATGTCACCCCCCCCCCCCAAAAAAACAAAACAAAAAAAAAAAA